GTATGCATGTGAGAGCTGGACAGTGAATAAGGAAGACCAAAGAAGAGTTGATGCTTTTGAGTTGTAGTGCTGACGAAGAATAATGAAAGTACCATGGACTGCTAAAAGAACTAACAGTCTGTCCTGGAGGAAGTGCAGCCGAAATGCTCCTCAGAAGCGAGAATGACCAGACTTCGTCTCACCTCCTTTGGTCATGTTGTCAGAGGGGACCATTCCCTGGAGAAGGATGTGATGCTTGGTAAGGTGGAGGGTGGATGAAAGAGGGGAAGGCCTTCAACGAGATGGATTGACACAGTGGCTGCGATGACGGGCTCAAGTATAGCAGGGATCATGGAGCTGTTGTGGGATCGGGCGGTGTTTCATTCTGCTGTGCTTGAGGTCGCTATGAGTTAGAAACAACTCAACAGCACCTAACAAAAGCAATAACAACAGTGCTGGTCTGACAGGAATATACCATAAATGGGATGGCTTGAACAAACAGGAGTTTGTTCTCTTACAGTTTGGAGGCTTTAAGTCTGAGTTCAAAGTGCCAGGCTCTAGGGGCTGGGTGAAAGCCCCTCAGCCTTGGGCTTCAGCTCTGCCTTCTGCTCCTGGCCCACTGAAGCTAGAGTCTTTCCTTTACTCAGACAGCTACTGGCTGCTGAGACTGACCAGCCCAAAGTTGACAAGTAAAAAGGCCCAGTCCTAATGTTACCAGACCACACAGCAGGCTATTAATTCAAGTCCATCGGAAGTCCTAAGGTCGGCAGAACATGACAGACAGCTGAACAATGACACAGCTACATTCAGGGTTCAAGCGTGCCATAAGCTAGAGACTTTCCCCAAGCCTTCTCCTTATATACGGGAAGCAGACCACATCCTTAATGCAGCTACTCCACTGCTCACAGTAGATTCCACCATGGAGTTGATTACCACTCTGATCATGGGGAATACTGCATCCAGCTGCCCAGCCACTCAACCAGGCCCAGTCAAGTTGACACACAAACTTAACTACAAGACCTGAGACAATCTTTAACCCTTAAAAGAAAAATACCACCTTAAGTCATCTTAAAATCAAGTAATAGTTTAATTAGTAAAAAAAAAAAAAAAAAAAAGGTCTGCCTTGAGTATTATGCTCTTTTAAGAACTGTCTATAGGGAATCA